ATTTCTCAAATAACTGAGAACTACCATTCTACCAGCAATCCCATTACTGGATATATATTCAAAAGAAAACAAATTGTCTTACCAAAAAGACACAAATGTACTCACATGTTCACTGCAGCACCATTCACAAGAGCAAAGACATGGAATCAACCTAGGTGCCCACCAAGAATGGACTGGATAAAGAAAATGTGGTACATATACACCACTGAATACTACGCGGCCATAAAAAATGGAATCAGGTCTTTGGCAGGAACATGGATGAAACTGGAGGCCATAGTGTGAAGTGAATTAACGCAGGAACAGAAAATCAAATACTGCATGTTCTCACTTACAAGTGGGAGCTAAGCATTAGGTACTCACGGATATAAAGATAGCAACAACAGAAACTGGGCATGACTGGAGAGGAGAGGCAGGGAGCGGGGCAGGGGTTGAAAAACTAACTATTGGGTACTCTGTTCATGTAGGGAGTGACAAGATAATTTGTAAACCAAACCTCAGCAACATGCAATATAACCAAGTAAAAAACCTGCACATGTACTCCCTTGAATCTAAAAGTTAAAAATAAATAAATGATAAATAAAAACTGTGCTGCATTTCTGTCACCACCTTTATTCATGAAACAACTGTCAGCATAAGAGAGAGGTTGTTACATATGAAGGTACCTGGAACATTGCCAGGCATACTTCAGCCTTCATTTTTCCTTTCTTATCAGGAATTCTCATCAATGTACTTCTACACAGTAGAACTACTCAGCAAGGCAAATGGTTTCCAGCAAACAACCAAAAAATACAAATTTCCTAGGTGTGAACAATAGCTGGTGTTTGCTATTGATACCATTCTCTCTTACACAACACTCAATTCGCAACTTCATCTCCTTTCCATGTCTTATTCATGTTGGTTACAGGTGGCGTTCCTTCCCCCATACTCTGTGTTTCTAAATCTCATCTATTCTTGGAAGCTCAATTAAAATGCCATCTTTTCCACAAAGCCTTCCACGATCTCTGGCAGACAATCAGTTCTGATCCTCTGAACTCTCAGCATTTTAGTCATAACTTCTCAATGGCATAGGGACTTTTTTCTTTTCCTTGTAATTCATTCCTTCATTCATCTAATATATACTGAGCACATTTTATATGAGAGGAATGTGCCAGGCATTGAGGATGTTACATGCAAGGGACTCACTGAACTAGGGGAAGCAAACTATTCAACATGAATTTGTAATGAATTGAGTTATGGGAACCCACAGGAGACCATCCCAATTCAGTTATGGGAGGCGCTGAGAGGAGATGGTACCAAGAAAAACTCTTGGGCAGGCGCAGTGCTCACGCCTGCAATCCCAGCACTTTGAGTGGCCAAGGAGGGTGGATTGCTTGAGCCCAGGATTTCGAGATCAGCCTGGGCAACATTGCAAAAACCTCTCTACAAAAAACACAAAAAAATTAGCCAGGCATGGTGGCACGCCTATGTAGTCCCAGCCACCTGGAAAGCTGAGGTGGGAAGATTACCTGAGCTCAAGAGGTTGAGGCTAAGTGAGCCGTGATTACCCCACTGAGCTCCAGCCTGGGTGACAGAGTGAGACCCTGTCTCAAATACAAACAAACAACTCTGAAGAATCAGTGAAAGAGGGCAGAGGAGGATTCCTCTAGGCAGGGGGCAAAACATACGCAAAATCCTGCACTGAAAAAAACAGTATGGAAGATAGGCATATGTGCATGCTTGGGGAAGTACAAGTAGGTCAGTGTGGTGAGGGTGCAAAGAAGAAAAATGAAGGAACATAAGACTTGAGAGCCAAAGAGAGGAAGAATATTGTAGAGTCTTCATGCTATGATAAAGGATTCTAAATTTTATCCAAGGTTGCAGGGAGACGTGAAAGGATATCAAAGCAAGAGCCTGACATGTTGAGAAAGATCGTCCCAGCAGTGGTTTGGAGAACAGATAGGAAGGAGGTGAGACTGCAGGCAAGGACACCACAGGGGCTACAGGAACCAGCCAAGGATGAGATATGGGTAGCAGTAGGACGGAGATACAGGGCAATGTAAATGCTCAGGGGCTTAAGTCTTAGAGCCTGGTGATGATGAGATGTGTGGGGTGAGAAAGATGGGGGAGAAAAGGGTGACAAGATTTCTGTGCTGGATAACTGGATAAACAGTTGGTCCACTGAGATAGGGAAGGTAGAAAGTAAAGCTGGTTTGGGAGCTCAGTGTACCGTTAAGGATTTAGAAATCAAATAGCTTTAGTCCTGAAGCTTTAGGTCCTAAGGCTATATATACATGGAACTCAAGCCACAGTACTGCTAAAGACACCTAAATCTTTAGCTCCCTGCTCAACTCTAGAACCTCCTATCAAGCTGCTTTCTGGATGTGTCTTCTTTATTGCCTCAAAGGCACTTTAAACTCAGAGTAATGTAAAAAGCACAAATCATCATTCTCCCAAATCAAGAATTTGAATTCAAAGAAATCATAAAAGGAAAGAGAATCTTTTAAGGAGAATAAAACTGAAAAAAAATCAGTAAATATAGCACAAACAGATCTTCAGTGAACATAGCAATGGTAATTTCATTGGCTGTGGCATGGAAGTTGAAGTAAGTGAGAGGTGACAAAATAAAGACAACATGTATGGACAAATCTTTCAAGAAACTCAACTATTAAGAGAACGAGTCAAAGAGGGAGATGGAATTACTGAAGTGGTTTCCAACTTTGGCTGCACGTTGGAATCACCTGGGTGGGTTTCAAACATACTGACACCTGGATGCTACTCTCAGACATTTTGATGTAATGGGCTTGGGGTACTGTTTGGACAATCAGATTTTTAGAACTTCTTGTGTAGCAAAAATTAAGAACCACAGATTAGAAGAAAGATTGTTTCTTTCAACAGTAAGAGACATTTGAAAGTATTTTCCTGAGGATAAGAAAGAGACTGTAGTGAAGGAAAGATTGATTCAGAAAAGTGGAGGGAACAAATGGAATGAGTTCGAGGGGGTGAAGGAAACGGCGTCCATGGGAAGCGGAAAGGATTAGGAAGAGGCCTTTGCCATTCAGACTGGGTTGGAATACAGGTGAAAATTTATTTTAAGGCATGGGGAAGATAAATAGTTGAGGTGGTCATCACCCAGTGGCTTTAATTTTCTGTGTTAGGGAAGTAAGGCTCTCTGCTGAGAATAAGAGGAAAAGTGGTATTATAGAGAATTTGAGAAGACAAGTGATGTCCAGACCGGGACCGTGAAAATCACCTCCAGACCGGGACTGCAATAACCACTTCCAGACCTGGACTACGAGAATCACCTCCAGCTGATCTCCAGGCATCGATTCTGCTTCTCCTTCCAATCCATTGACAAAATGATTTTTCTCAAATATAAATGGCATCGTGACACTGACAAATTTAAAGCCATTCAATGGCTTTCCATCCCTTTTTCGACAAAACTGAAATCCTTCATATGGATTTTAAAGCCATTCATGATTCCATCCCAACGTAAGTCTCCAAACTCATTCCCACTACTCTGCTCCTCTCTCTCTATGCTCCAGCCATCAGGGCCTTCTCCAAATTCCTAGAAAGTGCGATCCTTTCCAGGTCCAGAGTCTTGGGTATGTTATTTTCCTGGGCCTGAAACCCTCTTCCCCTCTTCACCTGACCACTCATCAATGCTTTCAGGTCTCATTTTCAACATCTCTTTCTCAGGAAAGTCTTTCGTGACTGCCTAGACGAGGTCAGATTTCTGTTACACATGTCCACGGTATCCTAAACTGAACCTTATGGCTTTATTGCAATGATGATCGAAAACTCACTTATGAAAATATTTGCGTAATGTCTACTTCTCCTATGAGTTTGTAAGCTTCATGAGGAAACTGCATCGTTCCTGTGACTACAACATTCCCAGCTCCCCCAGTTAATATCTGTTGAGTGTGGAATGAAGAAGAGAGAGGAAGGCATAAGAGGACTGCTAGAAAGCACTGAAAGAACCATGGACACCGAAGACCTGGAGTCTACAGCTGTGTCATCTGCAAGGCTGTGCGATTTTTACCAGCTGAGATCACCAATCCAGGGCAGAGAAGGTAGGTAGTAGGGTTTTGACAGACACAATTTTAAAAAATGGATAAGAAGACAAGGACATTTACAGAAAATGCCTGAGTTTACTCTTATTAAGACTTAAAACTCACAGGGCAGAAGTTGTGATTTTTCTCTATACATATCTTTAGGCCTCCACATTGCTTTGCACACAGTACATTCTCAGTATATATTGATTGAATGAGTTAATTATCATACATTGGAATCTTATAACAACATAGAATTTAGAGTACAAGCTGTGAGTCCACTTTTCAAAACAAACATGTAACGCAGTTGTTTTGGTTACTTGATGGACCACAACTTGCTCAATTCGAGTCTAGTCAGCAATTTTAAAGCTAGGTCCCACTCAACTCTGTATTCTAGTTTGTGAACTCTTTTTCAAAGACTGCTCATTTCATGCTATCTGTTCCTTTCGTCTTAAATTTCTCTCTTCATCTGGTTACCATCATTATTCATCACGTAATTTGTCAGAACTGATTTCAGACAGAGTGCATAATCACTTTTTCTTGGTTACTCAGTTTCTTACAAGTGTTTTCATCTTCTGCAGGTTTAATTTAGGGGTAGGAGATAAAGCAGGGGAGTCATCTCTCCTTGATTTAGCCAAGGTTGAAATAAAATCTGGGTATCTTCATAGCATGCCTCTGGGAAACATGACAGAGGGAATCCAACAGAATGGCAGGATTTACAGTAAATTTTGTAATTTCATTTTATGGAATTTAACTGATTATTTTATCTGAAAAGATCAACACAAACTATTGAGAAATATATGAAATGATAAAACATTTTTATGAACTCTAAATTATAAGAAATTTAACTACTTACATAATAACAATTTTAAAATTTAAGGTTCATTCAAGAACTCCAGCCTAAGGAATCATCAGTGGCATCGTAAAAAACCTTTCTTCTGCAATGTGGATAACAGCAGAATCCTTAAGTACCTTTGATCCCATGGACTCCCTTTCTTTCGTTATTTCCTTTTTCATCATGTCTTTCTCAATGGCCCTTTTCTCTTGCTGAGATGCAAGTTCTTTTTCAAGTCGCTCCGCCTGCCTCTCCAGCTCCTTCCTCAACTGGTCACACTGGATTAAAGCCTGCCAGGATAGAAGAGATTGAAAGAGGAGTTTAGAATTTGGAAAAAATATGGGGAAAATGAGATAATTAAGCTTTAAGTGTATTTAAAATAGTTAAAATTCACTATAAAGCCTATTAGAATAATTTTGTATTTGTTTATCAATACCACTTATTGACCTAAGAGAGTATCCAAATGTTACATGTATTGACATAGTTCAGTTTTCATGATTAAAGCCATATTAATTAATCAATGACAAAATTCAGGTAATGAACCTTGATGAAGGCCACAGATGAGTCAGAATTTTAAAAAAGGGAACCAGGAAAACTAAGCGCTCGAATATTTTCAATTACATATCATGTTTCTACTACAAGAAATACATAAGCATCCAACTTAACTCATTTCTTATTTGCTCATGGATAAAAATTATTGGAATACTTCAAATGATAGATCAAAATACTACAATGAAATGTTGAATATATCATTACACACAGGCATCTTTTGTTTAATACTATATAATAATCAAGTTTCCTTAAATATAACCAAGAGAAAATTTAGTTCACTCCCCTTAAACATACAACTGAAGTAAAAATTATGTAATAATCATAAGTTAAATGGAAAGACTCAAGACAGTATTCACTACTTAGTTTTATGAGGATCTTCCATTTCTGGTAAAGTTCATAACTGTCCTTTACTGTAAATTTCCCACTCTGCATTTCCAGAAATAAAAACTCTCTAACTTCATTTTGGCCACTTTTACCATATCTTTATTTATAACACCCAATAATAAAATATGACTTCAAAAATCCCAATTTGGAGAGGTCTTTTTTTGTATAAATGTATGGGGTACAAATGTAATTTAGTTACATACATAGATTGCATAGTAAAATCCCAATTTTTAAAAATCCTAATAAAAGTAAGGTACTATAGCATCTTATAGTCTTATTCCAGTGGCCCTTATGTACGATATCCACCTTACACAACCTCTCTTTTCTCCTGAAATGGTAGAAAGAACCCCAGGTCTCATATAACTCACATGCTACGTGATTATAAATTTCATAGTCACATTTGATTTTAATGGAGACTGAAATGGCCTCAGTAAGCACTGTAAGTTTTATGCATAGTTATGCTTCCCTCTGGTGAAAGCTGTAATAAATTCAGACAATAAATATCTAGGATATGTGAATTTTCCTCTTTTCATCTGGAAAGCATTAAACTCTGATTTCTTTTGGTCTTTCTGAAAAGTTTCTATGCTCCCAGGCATAAAATGTAAAGGTAAAATTCAATTGTCTCAGATTAACTAATAAACAAATGCAATGAGTAAAAATGATTCTTCTAGGGAGTTAGTCCCAAGTCCAAATTCCAGCTGAGAATGCCTGGAAAAGGAAATTTTAAATTAGATATTAAAATAAATGAAAAGGCATACTTTTTCTATAATTTAAGCCCTTGGAGCTTGAAATATGAATTAGTTACTTTTGTGATTCGAAATGTAATTGCTCTTGAGAAATTTTTCACATGAATCTAGTAAATGTTCATAACTCTCCCTGATATAATGAATACTACTGGTATGAATAGACAAAATGCTTACTTAATATAAACCAATATATCCAATCAGCAAGTTTTCAATTGAACAAAAGCTCAGGAGTCAACATCGTTAAGTATAGGAACAGCGGAAGAGACTGAAGATCTAAAACCAGGCTACCATGAAAGGCACCTACAGAATCAATTCAAAGAACTCAATCAACTAAGGAACAAGCAACAGTAAATAATCCTGGCACGATAAGAGGTGTAATGCCAAGATAGGATGATACAGCGAAAAGCACAAAGTGAGAAGCTGTAAAATCATGTAAACAAAACCACTGCTAAGGCCTTGGTTTTGTGGATGGTCTTCTCTGTATTAGGACTAGCCACCACCAATGGTTGAGGATGAGTAATGAGCAACACAACACTGATTACAAATATTAGGTTAAAACCTGGTTATTGGCCGGGCGCGGTGGCTCATGCCTGTAATCCCAGCACTTTGGAAGGCTGAGGCGGGTGGATTGCTTGAGGTCAGGAGGTTGAGACCAGCCTGGCCAACATGGTGAAACCCCGTCTCTACTAAAATACGAAAAATAGCTGAGCATGGTGGTGCATGCCTATAGTCCCAGCTACTAGGGAGGCTGAGGCAGGAGAATTGCTTAAGCCCAGGAGGCGGAGGTTGCAGTGAGCTGAGATGGCGCCATTGCACTCCAGCCTGGGCAACAGAGCGTGACTTGGTCCCCAAAAAACACACAAAACAAACAAACAAAAAACTGGTTATTGACGTCTCTTAGCGTGTAACCAACAATTCCATATTATCAAATAGCTTTTAAGGCTAGGCGCGGTAGCTCACGCCTTTAATCCCAGCACTTTGGGAGGCCAAGGCAGGCGGATCACGAGGTCAGGAGATTGACACCATCCTGGCTAACACGGTGAAACTCCGTCTCTACTAAAAATACAAAAAACTAGCCAGGCGTGGTGGTGGGTGCCTGTAGTCCCAGCTACTTGGGAGGCTGAGGCAGGAGAATGGCATGAACCCGGGAGGCAGAGCTTGCAGTGAGCCGAGATCACACTACTGCACTCCAGCCTGAGTGACAGAGCGAGACTTCGTCTCAAAAACAAACAAACAAACAAAAAAATAGCTTTTACTTTTATTTGCTTTGATTTTAACATATATGCTCCGTCACAATGAAGAAAATAGAAAAGCGTAGTAACACTTGGAATCAGAAAAATGATTTATTCTTTCTAAAGATAACTCAACTGGACCGCACATACTAAAAGATTTGGGTGTAGTAAACAAATATTTATACACTATTTCCATTAAAGCTTTCTCTTAATTCTAGAGTTTCTTCTCCTATTTTCCAGAATCCCTGTCGATTGAGTACCCCAATAACCATTCAGTAAAGACATAGTAACCGACTTCTCAAAGGCTAAGTCAGTAAAAAGTCAACTACCATCAAATGATGGATCTTTATAGTAACTGAATGCTATACATGGGCAATTGCCATTAAATGATAGATCTTTACAGGTGACAAAGTTAATTTGGGGCCTGCGGCTGTTATTTCTCTCAGTAGTTCCCAAGTCCTGGCTTCTCTCCCTTCCCTGAACACAGCCCTTTCCTTGGTGGAAATGGCTGTAGGTCTTAGGAAGTTGGGGAATTATACATTCCCCCCCATCCAGCAGACTCATTCCTGAAGGTACATTTTCTTTTCTGCGAAATTTCTTTAGCGGTGGTCATTCTATGTTGACATATTAACATTTTTTTTCAAACACAGTTTATTGGACTTGATATTCCCAGTCCTGGTTTTATTAAACCAAAGGGTAGGCACTACTATCTTAGGCAGTCAAAACATTTTCAAAAACAAAATTTATATCTAGTCAACTAAAATTTTAAAACAGGAGACCTATTGTGGACCATATAAAAGTCCTTCCCAACTGCTAGGGTTAGTTTTCAAGAAATCTTTGTGACAGAATAATTCATAACTAAGGAATTAAGATCTTATGAAATTATACAGCTCACACCTGTGAACATGAACTTTAAGGCTTATAAACATTTTTATTTTTACGTAATAATAAAGCCCACAAAATTAAAAAGATTAACACATTTCAAGCATCTAACTTACAAATAATGCAAACTATTGATTTTAATTTATAAACCCTTGCTAACCAGAAATTTACCAGTCTATCCCTATGTACCATTTTTCAAGATACTTAATACTTTGTTTTTGTTTTGTGACAGATAACATGCCTATCAAGAAGTTTTGTTTTCTATACTTGTGACTACAACTCAGTGCTTTTCTGATTTTATTTTTAATCCAGGTTTCTAATTCCTGCCTTTCTGACTCCCTGTAATCCAAGAAACAGAATAACTTGGATATTTCAAAAGGGGGAAAAAAGTCTTTGTAAATATTTGTTCAACCTACCAGGTTGCTGTTTTAAAAACTAATATTCAGAATATCACATGTAATCCATAAATAGGTACAATTATTATGTATACATAATAATTAACTTTTTAAAAAAGTTCACACCACTTACCCATGAAGGTATGTGGCAGGATAGGTCTTAGCAAATTTGAAATAAATACTTTGCTCAAGTTGTTATGAGTAAAAAAGAAAAAAAAATTTTTTTTCCTTAGAGGGTTATGTCATTATAGATATGCTTATGGTAACTTCATGCCACAGCCTGTACCTTCAGGCCATTCCACATACCTCTCAACAATTTCCCTTCCCAACACAAGCAGGCAGGCCTAAGGCATGGTTAACCTTTTTATCTGCTTCTCGTAGCTTTATCAAGGTGTCTTGTAGCTTTATCAAGGTGTCACTGCAAAAGCCTCTACTTTTTCTCACTATTTAGTCCCAGGTGAATTTTTTTCCTCTTTTAAAATTATCACCAATTGAGACAACTTCCATTTTCAAACAAAAACATTTATTGAGCACCTACTATGTGCCAGATACTTTGCTAAGTGGCATATATGGATTATTTAACCCTCTAAATACATTTTAATTGGTTCTTATCACTCAATTGAAGAAACTGGCACTTCAAGATATTCAGTAACTTGCCCAAAGCAGAGACCTAGAAAGTGGAAGAGTAGGGAGTTTATCCAAGATAGTTCCACACAAGAATCTATGCATGGCATTATACACTTCTCAAGTTATGTATTTATTTTCTTAGGCATTTTCACTGCCACTATGAATGTTAAATATGTAATTCCTTCCACTTAGCATGTGATACCCAAATGTCACACTAGATGGCAACAAACATCAAGGAACTAAACAAAGTAACCATTTCATCGCTCAGTAAGTAGTAGGGTTTTAAATTAAAATATGTATGCCATCTGACTTTTTAATACACTCAGAAAGCAAAAATTCTAATGTGTTTTAACATACCTTCCAGATAAAAACTACTAGACTTGCAATACATTTTGTCTTTGCATTCATTATTACTAATTTACTGAAAATGCTATAGATTCCTAACGAACAATAGCGTTGCTTGCTCTCAGCT